CATTTGTTTTGATAYGMTTCATTTCTGTGCCACTTTTCCTTYCAATTTCCTTTGTCTTGGAATGTGCAATYCTWCAAWYTATGATACTTCTTACGATTYTTTAAATATTGCTTGTTTACTATACGTTTTATTGGATAAATTGCTTGCTGCTTTKTTCGYTTGCTTCTTTGTTCTTTTTCCTTTATCTTAWCGCTTTTTAAAAGAGTAAAAACGTCAATAGAAGCATACAAAAAATCTCCATACCAAAGAAGAATTTTTCAGAAAAAAAGGTTCTTAATAAATTACTCAATATAACGTTTCAACGTTTCAAAARAGGCAGTACYTTCAAATTTCATTTATCAAATCCACCGCACAAATATCACCTACTAAGTACGTAACAAATCCTACGTGCGTCAGAGACGTCTTAACTTTTTTATATTTAATTCTAGTGTTAAATGCTAGTGGTGAACAAAATTATGACATTTGAAATCGGTTTTGCAATTTAATGAAGTTCATGAACGAGTCAATGCTTTACACTTTACTCAAGGCGGATTTGAACTTYAAATAATGAAATGACAAAATACCTAAAACATAGTGAGCGTATGAAATTAGAGCATAATCATGTATTAAATTAAAAAAAAAATCAAAGCTTCAAATGTTACTTAAACCATTTTTCATCATCATTATCATCTCTCAGTGCGAAAGAAGATGAATAACGATTTCACACTATCTCAAAAAACCAAACCATTTAATACATGATTACATAACTCGATTCAGTAAACATATTAGACTCAATTTTCCACTTTACCAGTTGCATTTTCTAGTTTACGTACAGTAAGCCGAGGAGCTCAGTCAAAGTGCAACTTTAAATAATTACAAAGACATATATCGATAACTCAATTTRCTCAGTTAGTGAAGAAGAAAGCTAAGATTGGAGATCTACACAAATCAGCTGAACGCGAATTACATCAATACAACTTCACGAGCTTTTGATCTTAGAACAATTGTTTGGAATTATAATCAATAAATAATGAGTATTTGAGGAAGTAAGCTAATGGAGATGTGGGATGAATACTTCCTGGTTTGATTTAAGTTTGACGCGCACTTTGTAAGCTTCTGTAATCAAGCCGTATCATATAAAATGAGCTAGCATGATTGGTTAAGCTATCATCCAAATACTAACGTTATTTTTCAAAGTTTAATTGATTGTAGTAATTTTTTAATAGCAAATGTTTTGATCTTGGTAGAATTATTTAGTCAGCTAATAGCAGGAGGTAAYATCTGAGAGACATTTAGGTAAGTTGACATGATATCGCTTATGACAACGAAGAATTTCCAGCCTTAATTCGTGTAGCTTTCTTTCTACATCGTATTTTATCAAATTCGTAACGTTTATCACAGCTATAAAAGCCATTTTTTTGCTCTCTGGCCGTGGGTAAAGCCGAATTTAAATCTGTTTTAACGTCAAGCAACTATAAGGGTAATAATCCGAATGAGAGTGAGTCTTCTTTACAAATCTCACCTCTGACACCAACGAGGCATAAGAAGAAAAGATGCTTTGCTTTGCTTTCTTTCTTATCACGGACTCATTTAGAGGGGTAAGACAAGTCTTTCTAACAATTTAAGATACTTTAGTAACAAATATAATTATAATTTCTTCAGAATTTACAAGTTTAAATTATGTKGCGTTTGTCTAGTGAAACGAAAATCACGTTCGCAAAAAAATAAGCAAGAATCACAAAAAAGCAGTGAAAAAAACAACTAAAAAAACTAAACTAGATGTCTAAATATATTTTTAAAGGTTTGGCAATATAAACCAATGAAGATATAATTTGAGGTAGTTTTTTAAGTTTTTTTTTATAATTTGAGCATATTACAGTTTAGGGAAGAAATTCCGGTTAAACACCGATTTAAATTAATGCAATAGGCAACTATTTAATGGTTAAAAGCTGTCCATAAGAGTTGTTGAGCCCGGAGGGGAAATCATTTATATACACAAAATATTTAAGCATGTATTCAAAGTTCGGGATAATGGTTTAACTTTMCATCCCTCAAGGGTTTGCACTAAAAGCATTTTCTTTTCCGTAAGTGCGCGCGACAATAGCGTTGAATATTATCATAACACTAGCAAGAAACGTTGCGGTACATCAAATATACAGCTCGATTTTTTCACAGTTTGTTTGTGAAATAATTTCATTAGTAAAAACATTGAATTTTAGATATGTAATGTCTAATATAAAGACAGAACGCTTCAAGAACTATCGTGAATAGCCTTGTCTTCAAACCTTAATGGTATAAAATAGTTTTTTTCTTTAAAATTTTACTGTGACTCTGTTGCTATTTGCTAATAAAGATTATTATAAATATGATGGTATTGATGACGATGATTATGATTATGATAATGATGATGATGATGATGATGATGATGATAGAAGAATTCAAAGGAGAAATCAGTTTAAAAAGGTCAATCCCAAGTTAATGACAAGCAATTTCACGCCGGAGATAAATTCATGATAATTGCACGCAAGGAATACATTCTTGATTAGATTTGATTAAAACGCAAATTTGTATGGAAATTTTAAACTTTTTCAAACTAAAAAGTTTTGTTCTTTCTATATCCAGATACCGTCACCATGAAAAGACTAGCATTTCTTTTCTCTATTGTTATACTCTCCTCATACATCGATGCTCTCGAAAAGAAGTCTTCC